GCTATTGGGTTATTGATATCAGAGCATCGGGTTCTCTGGAGTCCTCGTACGGATGGAATAGAAATACTACAAGATGGCGAGTTTGAGAGACCACTAATCAAAATGGCGCACAAAAGAAAAATTCCACTTGTAAATACTTCCAAATACTCATTCAAGAAGAAAATAACACAAGACTTTCGTACTTCTTCCACAAGAATGTACACCAATTAGATCTCAAGAGCATGAAATTCTACACTCCATGTACATTCTTCTCTGTTCCACCTTCTCCGCATGAGAATGCCACTCGACATTGGCCACAAGACACCCACCACCTCTCTCACGATTACGTCCAAGAAAGCCTCTCCTTCGCAATTACGGTTGTCTGATGACATTCTTCCAATTTTCTCTGGCATTTTTCGCCTCTCCCTGTCGGGCCAGCGTCCGTCGAAGAACGTAAACAAGTCTATGGCGGCGTGAAGAAAACGAAAATGCAGTCGGTCCAGAGGAAAAATAGGTTGAGCGCGTATGCACTTTGCCCGCTCCAGCGTGGATGGCTTTGTGCTGTCCAGCGCGAGTGAATAACGATGACGTTAGCTGCTAGAATGGCGCAGCGATTAAAAAGTCCCCGGTTCTTCTCCGCCCATTCTTCCTTCGTTTTCTCCTTATTCATTACCATTCCTCGGGGCGCGCGTCTCAACCCAGGGGTTGGCGATAAAACTTTATACGTTGGTGTGCGTGACGACGGAGATATTCATTAAGGGACTGTTCTGATATAACTGGTTCGAAAAAGATAATTTTAAAACGAATTTTTAGAATGTTTAAATATCATGACAAAGTGTTGTTTCAATATTCCTTAGCATTTCGCCTCGAAAAATTCTAGAAAATCGGCTACTTTTCCAGTCGTTCGAGCCAGAACGCCCCTGTTGAGTTTAAGGGGGTGGTAGTCGAGGAATCGAACGTACAGTATTGCGATAAAGCGCGGCCGACGGGATCCTCGATGCCTGGCGCGAGAGGATTCTATCTTTGGATCGAGGAAATTTCGCTCCTCCACCTTCCCGTTGTGCCACCGGCGCATTTCAATTTTCTCGGAATCCGCGCGCCGGCGTCTAGCGTCCTGGCCGTTCCCGTTCCATCCAATCTGATTCCAACGGGACCATAATAGAATATTTCGTGAAATCTTTGGCGAGGCCCGCCTCCCAGCTAACCTAGACCTAATCTGGATATAACTCGAACGCTCCTTGCGCGAGTCGAGGCTCAAACTGTTTCGCCCTTTGGCGTGGAATCGATAGTACTCAAGGGGTTGATGCTACCTCGGAAGTGAACGGGATAGATGGTGTTCGAGGGTATGGCAGTCAAGTTTACTGGGGTTTGAGACCGTGTCGGTGACACTTTTGGGTTAATCAACCTGACAGGGATTGAACTCTAAATTAAACGACATCTAACCAGGATATACGTGTATATGTATTTACATTTAATGGCAGGTGCATGTATGTAGTAAGTAGGTATGTTACATACAGATAGTTTGCCATAAATGTATAAACCCTCGCAGTTTATGCGAGTGAATTGAGAAACACTGATCGTAGGGTATCAGGCTTCCCTTCCCAGGTCGAGTTAGGCTCCGAACAATCGGATATCCCCACATTGGCACACGATTTCGTTAATTGCGCGCGTTTTCCACCACTGATGTGGATGATACGCTCACAGCGGTTGGTTTTAGTAGACCCAACAGTGACGATTCCACGCCAAATGCGACTCGGGTCGAGCGTTCGCCAAGCGCGATTAATCGCGGACGCAAAGCCCCTGGGCAAGTGCATTCGACGCTCCGAGGGGATCGAAATTGGCGCTGTTTGTTAGATCCCCGTCCCTAGAAATGTTTACTACAGTCTATAGAAAAGTTATTCACTTTTGGAGAAAGATAAGGGGGTCCACGAACAGATCCATGAAATATACAAAAATTCTTACAGCAGAGGCTCAAATTCTCCTCGAACAATCAAAGAACCACCCTCCCTTGCATCAGAAATCTCACTTTTAGTCTTTGCAACGAGTTGTCTTGACGGTCGGACGAATGAGCTTGGAAAGTCAACATGGAAGCAGAGAACGGTGTCGATGATGGCGTTGGAGTGTTCGAGCATCGAGCATCGAGGAGGCAACAGTGCTGGAGGAGCACGTGATCGGAGATTCCGGTGGATCGCATAGGTCGCCGTGCAATCTCCGGTAATGATTGGTCTCCATGGAGACCGGGGCAAGCCGCCTCGCCCTTTTTCATCGCGTGGCCAGCGCAGGAGCGCCGCGTCGCTGCAACGACGCCGACGCCCGCAGGATGAAACATTAAAGTTGCGTTTGCGCCGATGCGCTCTGCCTTGAACTACTTAAGGAAGGATACGCGGTGAACCTCCGCGGCACGCTCGTACCCTGGCTTGACCTTTTGTCCTAACGTGTTCTTGACTCCATCTTTTTTTCCTGGGGTATGATGGATGGTGTTCGTGGACTCTGGACAAGTGCTGTTCTCAGGAATACATGATGGAGACGAGAATTCGTAGGCATTCGTATTCGAGCTTTCTTGGGGGGGGCTCGTGGGATTATCAGAGGGGTGGGTTTTGTTGGGTTCGATTGGGTGAAGATTTGTATCGTGAAGGGAATGAGTCTGACAGGTAGAGGTAATAATTCGTTGCTTCGATATCAAGAAGCAACTGTCACGTCTATTCTCCCACCTCTGAATATCCTTAAACTAGTGACCCTAACTGACCTCAAGAGTACCTACATAACCAGACCTACGTATGCCAGATGTTGTAACAGATGCCTTGCATCTATAATTCATCAAACCTGGCACTTTGTTTCGCACAACTTGTGTACCACTTGATATCCTGAAGCCCTCCAACTTATCAGCGATACACTATGCATGAGAGCCCTGATGAAATCAGATACTACTGGACCAACGGAACACTCTCTCAAGGGAATACAGGACTTACATTTTTTATGGCCCCTGAATAGTGAATTTGGTCAGATGGTGTTACGAGAACTGTTGGGACGAGGTCAAGGTAGTTGACAGTCAAATGGGAGCTCATTTCAGGGACTGAATTCGATGCTTCATCTACTGCCAAGGACGGTAGACGTCCTAGACATACTGTTCCTCGGTCCTGATGGTCAACCTATGATGAAAAGCCTCGAATGCAAAAGGTTAACATATCATTTCTGTATACCTTGTATATATTAATAGTCGATCTATGAAGTTGTACCCAAAATGTACAAGTCCTATGATGCCCGACTAAGGCTATACCACTCTCTTCCAAGATTGAACAGTTTACACCAACAGGCTAGAAACGCAATTTACACCCTCTGGCGTGAAATTTCTCACGCCAAGCTCGGGTTCTTAACGAGGCCCTTATTGTTTTCAGCGGAGTCGTAGTTGGAATCAACGTCCAATAAATTTCGCCAATTACCCGAACGCGGGGAGAGGTCGACGACAATTCGCCGCCATAAAGTTCGCAGGGAACAGGTTCACGATTCTCCAGCTGGGGAACGTTAGCGCGATTACGATTTTTCCACGGGAATGGACCATAATATCATTCTTTTTCCGTCCTGTTGAAAGCCAATTACAATCGAGCTTTTACCTCGCATCCTTGCTCGAAGCTCGTCCTCTTCTCCTGTCGAAAAGATTCAATTTGAGAGGCAACGACGTTCGTCAGACTTACTCGGATTCCGTAAGACGCCGTGGCACCTTTCAATGTTAAAAGGTTCCCTATTTCTGGTTTACATTGTCCTGGCGTGGACGAGTGATCCTTCGTGTCTCGATCAAGAGAAACAATCAACGGGAAGCGAATAAATAACGATTCTGGGAGCAGCTGCGAGCCACGTACCTCGAATTTCTGCTTTCTTTCGATTGCTAATTGCATCGAGGGGGATTTGGGTCATCCTACGCCCACAGCGGTTTCTTTCCACGATTATACGACAAAGCGCACCAACGAACAAAAAAGCTCGAGTTTCGAAGTCCATCCGCGTGGTACCACGTCCTTTCATAGTTATCACTGTCCTGGAGGAATTGTTTCTTCGCTGAGGCAAGACTTGGACTTGGTTCGAATGGAATTTGAGATAAAAAAATTTGTAAGTATTCAAGGAATAGGGTAACTTTGCGTCGGAATAAACTTTTATTCAAGTGAATTGACTAATTAGAGATTTATTCGTTACACGTTAATAAAGTTGAAACATACTATACGTCGAAGGACGTCGCGATCGGGGGAGCTGCCAAGATGAATGTAACTCGGTCGACAATAGAGCAACTTGCTCGACTACTTTAGCCTTCGAAAGCTTCGGTGGACATTGTCTCCCGCATAATCCATAGCTGAGAAAGACTTAGCGAGCAACAATGTATCCTATAGCGCTTAAGGGTGCTTAACCTTTCGATCTTCCGTTCTTGAAGGTCCCCTGGAATTCAGCTACTCTTGTTGCCACCATGTGGCTTACCTATAGTCTGCTGTTTACCTTCTAACTGTTGCGCATCTAGGAAAGTGATTCAATCGTTTCACTTTTACAATTAGTAGAACGAAAGATCTTGGAATTGGTATTCGATTGCAAACTGAAATTTCCCGAGATAATTAAATACGAATAGTGGTGGGGATGGCTAGAAAATTCCTTCGAATTTTGCCAACTATTCGAGCGTTCTAAACCTAACGAATAATTCGCACCCTGTTTCAACGAAGCTACGTAGAAAAATTCACTCGACATTTTCACGAAGCGCATTAGCCAGCGTAAAAAGTCTCATTTCAATCCGCATGCAAAAATCTCAAAGGTGGTCCATTTTTCGACTCGTTGCGCGAGACTACTCTCTTAAAGGACTAAATGCATATGTATATATGGCGCGAAGTTTGCAGAGAGCTGGAGTCGCGAAGCTGCAGCCGGCTTAATTAACAGATTGGCCAGGGCGCTTTTCGTCGGCGAATATTCGTTGAATGTTTCATCGTCCACGTTCCTGGCGTTCTAATATTTGATGCGCATTAACGGGACCTCGTTCTCGACTGTTTCAGGGGCGCCTTCTCCGTGGTACGACGATGCGTCCAGAAGAGCACCGGCCACGAGTTCGCGGCGAAAATCATAAATACCAAAAAGCTCACGGCCAGAGGTAAGCAGGAATATTTTTTAACATTTTTCATCCGAGTAATTGCAGTATCAATTTTTAAATTAAATTAAGAATTTTTTAGTGATTGTGTTCGAGTGCGAATAAATCAGTGCTTTTCTCCCTTCGCTTCTCTCCTATAATATAAAATACTATCTCTCTATATAATATTTCCATTTCGAAGTGAATTTGATAGTACAATTAATCTAATATAAATAATAAATTCTTTAAGTAGATTGAGAATATGCTCGAATAGACTGCTATTGTCTCTACAGTCTGTACTTGTATCCACTTAATAATAAGGCGTAAACTGCAGGCCATCTCTGAACTTTTAGCCTGGCAGCGTCTAACGTGGGACATTACCATGTAAAATATTTACCAGCATTAGGTAAACGACTTTATGCAAACTTCGATGGGATTGCATCACAATGAAAGAGGGGAATTGAAAGCACCATGCAAGAATCCGCGAGGCTGAGCCCTAGCATCGCTTTCATCGACTGTTCCTTTTGAATATTTCATTAATGCGCGACACAAACGAGCCGTGTAACGCCTCAGACAAGTGCATGCTGTAATTCCGTTTCGATAATCCTGGAGGAAAAAAACGAATCGGTTGGAGAGTTAATCGAATATCCACTGTAATTGTCAAGCACATCGCAGCTCGATTTTCCTATTTTTCGATCGACTCCCTCGACTAAGCGCTATCTTCTTGGCCTCCAGAAGCGTCTCTCAGAGCCCTAAAGCGTGCACGATCCTCCGAGGCTCGGGTGCATTTCTATAATTGCCCCTACCGGCTGCTCGTAAATTTTGGAAACAGTAAACGTCTAAATTCCCGACGACCACCGTATCTACGCGTCGCACGGCAAATTAAGCCTGGGTATAGTTAGTCCCGGAAGGCTCAGGTGCGGCGTCACGGTTCCTTTTGCCAGCGCACCGCTAATTATTTCGGTCCGGGAGGCATTGTTCGGGCACTTCTCGCGATTAGACGCGGAATCGCGGAAAGAGCAGGAGAGACGGACTCTGTACACGAGGACTTAGCGTCTAAAAACAACGAGCGACGCCGTTGTCAACCTGCCAACATTCCATCGCGACCAACAGTTGGCAGTGCCGTGCTGATCGCTGGTCCAGGAGAACGTTACCACCCCCTCTCTATTCCCCTTCGAATCAGTGAAATTCGAGACGAAAAATAATCGGGCGAACTCTCGAAACCGCGGTGCCGCGGAACTCGAAGCCAAACGAGCAAGCAGCAATCGAATCAATCGCAATATCGAGGCTGGCAAATGTTACCCGCTAAAGGGGATCGCATGGCCATCGATCCTAGCTAATGAGAGGGTTTTCTTGGTGTTGAATGTTTGCTGGCAGGAGTCACTTTGTGTCAAAAGTATGATTTTTTAGTTGAATATTAATAGTACAATGAATTGAATATCGCCACTGTCGCCCAGAAAACCATCGAAAATAATCTCCTCAATTTTTGTTCAAGAGAAAATTCTAGTCCCCTTTGCTTCCAATTCACTTTCCATCTTTTCTGTTCCCAGTGATCGTCCACGATGACGTTTTAGGGACGATGAACGGCAATTTTCAGTATTCAATCGGAGAATTTCCGGTTTCCGTTTCCGCCGTCACTTCTCAGCCCCTCCATCGATGAATTAATATCGAACGGATCGTCGTCCGAGCTGTATCATAAATTTCATCGTAGCTATCAATCGATTCGTTGGCAACGGTCCTAATACGCGTTCGCCTGACTCATTCGCGTCTCGCAGATGTTTCACCGAACTCTAAATATACGGGAAGGTGTCTGATTCAGGGGGAATATTAAGATACAGCCACGCTGCCACGCCAGTTGACGATGGTACCTCCAGAGGAGATCGCGCGAAGCCTTAGCCGATTTTAATTTTTAATTTAAAGAGATTCGATTTGGCAGCATTTTCTAATTGTTGTGAAAATAAAATATAGCGTAGATTAGCGTGTAAAAAATGAGAAAAGCAAGACGAGAAAAATCCTCGTGTTACGTGGGTGAAATTATTAATTCGGACACGTGCGACTCGTCAACAGAAACATGTCGCATGGCGCGTGATCAGATTTGTAATTTTCACCACGTGACATTTCCTTGTCCCATTATGAAAAATAACGAAAGCAATTTATGCATCCTCGTACTTCTAATTTTAATTTTCATATTTATACGTTACACGAAACTCACGAGTCAAAAAGTGAATAATTCATTTGAGACTATCTAAATTGTTTTCTTTTGTATTTATAACATACAAAGTCTGATATCATTTCAACTGTTATTTTAGAAATTGTTTACCTAGAATGTAATTGAAATGTTTTTAAAGAACGTTCTCCAACCCCACGGCTGCACCTGGCGATGTTCTCATCGTCGACCCGACTCTCGACAAAAACACCACCATTCGACTCCGAATCTGTTTACCTTGATACTGTTTCGCGTTGGGTTCGATAGTTCGACCGTAATCGAGCTTCAGAATTCGAGCGCCGCGAGGAATTTTCGTGGGTCGCGCGCAGAATGCGGGGGGAAGAATCCGCGAGCGGAGGTAAAGACCAAACACGAGCAAAAAGCCATAGTCGAGAGCTACTGGGCATCGTGCGTTTGGCGTAATAGGAGAGTTCGTGGAGGCAGATACGTATTGGCAAACAGAGAATTGCACAGAATTGCAAAGAAAAACAAAATTATTTAACAGAGAGCAAACAGTCAAATAAAAATAATTGTATTCGTCACTCTCATATAATTCATTGACTCGTATTCAACACTTCGATATGTATATTGAATTACATTCATTATTCCATTACCATAAATTGCATTCGAGCGAGGCTCTTCAGACGACCGTGCCATAAGCCCAGGTTTTGAAAAGTCCTCGACAGAGAGCGAAGCTTTGCGATTAAACGAAAAGGGAGACGTTGAAACGAGACGGTCGGCTGCGTAGGGTCCTGGAACTCGAGCTCAGCGAAATTCTTTCCAAGAAGATGATCGGGGTCGGCGAAGCGACCAACTCTTTCATCAATCAATACTTGGGGGTGAAAATTCGCATTATTTGAAACCCTCGGAAGCTTCGCTGTGAGATTAGTTCTTCCACTTCGACGGTGAAAGAAATATTTTGCAACGTAATTCTTTGGTAGCTGAAAGATCGATGGGGAAAAAAAGACTTAAACGTGACTTTGGGAATTTCTAAAGATTTGTATCTGTCTACTCGGGCTCCAATTAATACCGAAAATTAATATCTGATGACCAAGAGTCATTTTTCGAGTGCAAAGGGTTAAACCAGCTGACACAGCACTCGAATAAATGAAATATTAGGCTATATTCCGTCGCTCTCTAGCTGTTTCTAGCGACAGAACGTATCAGGGTTTAAATTCGTCCAGGGAGACGGTTAAAAATTCAGCAACGTTGGTGGGGTTCGTTTCTCCATCGTAAGGGAATTAATTCGCGGCATCGAAGCGGGCTGGGCGTGCACCGTGAAACCGCTTCTATCTTTGGCTTCAGTTCCAGTTTCTCTGCAGAGGCGAAAGGTAACGAGGGTGGAAATAAAAAAAGGTTGCAGTAGGCAGGGAAGATGAGCCCTCTCCGTTCCTCTCGAGCGGCCCCTCTGTCGGTCCCTCTCGCGTAGCCGCGCGAAGAGGGATGGCACGGTTGCACCTTCTTCCACTGGCGCACGACCTTGCTCCAGTAACCTCTTGACCTACAGCCACGGCCGTCGTTCGACTGTGCGCTTGCTGAAACGAATAAAGCACGAGACGCGTTCCGTTCACCTTGAATACGCGGAAGAGTCGCGGATCCTGGACTGTTTCGTATCCCTCACTTGTCACTTCCTGTCATTTCAGGTGTTTCCAAACTCAGGAGGAAAAGGAAGACACGCATCGAGTCGTAGTTTCCATTGTTATTATTAGCTGTGGCCTGTTAAGGAAGAAACAGTGATATACTTTATGGATTTACTCGAGGAATAGCGAGTCCAAAGTTTTATTTCGACCCAGTGTTTCGCTTCAGGTAGATGAAGGTTCCCTTATCGAGCCAATCGTCGATGCTATGATTTTCGAGGTGCAAGTTTCACCAGGATCTCAGATGGTCAGTCTGGATCGGTTTGGAAGCAACGGGGCATCGGTCTTCGTAGCTCCCAGCTCGTCGAATAATTAATCGAGCACTTTGTTCGAAGTTTCGTCGGGGTTGGTCATTTGAAATTCCGATTCGCGGTAACGGGAATTCAAAGAGGGCTGGAAACGTTCTCACGTTCCTTCCTTCGATCGATTCTCTTTCCCTCTGTTTATCGACGGGCCATTGCGGTCAAACTGTTTCACAATCGTTAAATATACACTGCTAATTACATATATATATATCCTATTTTGATGGAGTAGGGAGTATATTATGATTTTATACCGTAATATTATATGGTAATATTACAGATTTTACCATTTTTAATAGAAGTAGAATTAAAAGATACTTGCACGAGTCTCAGTCTGTTGGATCAAGGGAATCCCTGCGTGAAAGTTTAATCGCCAAGTTCGCGGTTTTAGCCAGCTGTTTCCCGTGATAAAAACAAAGGCCTTCAACCGGTAGCCAAGATAGCATCGAAACGCAAAATGTACGTCTACGATATTCTTATCACGCCCGAGAGATCAAGGGCTGCGCATCGAGCAGCTCTTTGCGTCCCACCCTCTGTTCCACCTGCCTTGGTAACCGTGTTCGAGCATCCAGGCGCTGAGAGGGAGAGTTTCTGCTGACTTTCGTGACATTCGTGCTCCATCGAACGCAAAGCAACGGCCTTGTAACGCAAAAGGAGCGATCTTCCAGCGAGCTCAAAGCGGCCGCGAGCGCGTTCGTCAAAGTTTCAATGGATTACGCGCAAACGAGGAAGATCTCTTCTTATTTTTATCCCCTCTGGATCGAGAGCTATCGGGGGAGAAAATACGAAGGACGTGAGGCGTCGCGACTTCCAGGTTTCCATTCGTCAACCGTACCTCCATAAGTCCGTGAGTCAGGAGAAAATGAAAAATCCTTGTCGTGAAACTTGGAGAATAGGGCAAATATTTCAAATCTTGACGAGAAACTCTATTTTTGAGATGAAGTTTAATTAAATTCCATTGGGAAATGTTTGTATAAATATGTCGAAGACTTGTCATCGACTTCAACCTAGTAGAAATTCATCTCTCCCATGAGCCTCGACAGAGGCTTTCATCCTTTCTTCCAGAACCCTTTTTCCGAAGGTTCCATTTCCGTTTTCAGGATGTTGAGAATGGTCCCCTTATGGTGTTCAGCTTTAAACTTGTTTCGCCATCTCTTCGACTCGATTCCTTGATCCTATGGAATTTACGACGAAAAGTTGTCCGCCTTGGAAAAAGCCCAGGTTCTTATCTCGAGCCAGAGACACATTGCTGGTAATCTAGGGGCGCGAGGGCGCACCTGTCCGTGAATAATTGGCGCGTAGTAAGCGCAGAGTTAACGCCGAAGACTTCAATGAGTTTAGGGGTGTTAGCGTCAGCTAGTTCGAAAACTTCTGGCAACGAATCGCCTTCGAAAATATACGTTACTTTTCCCCGTGCGGGGAAAATCTTTTTTCGCTGACTATGTGGCCTTGTGTACACCTACCTTTCCTGGGACTCGCGCGCAGTTCGGTCGTCCGTGGCACGGTGCACCGGGTAACGAGTTTAGCGCAAACAAGAGTGGCTCGTTAACCGTTCACCGTGTTCGCCAAATCCTGTGCACCGGCTGGAAAACACGAAATGACGCGAACGCTTTCCACCCAACTGCTGGAAGACGCTAGACGAGATGACGTGTTTGGAGAATCAGTGACAGATCAGCACTTAGATATTGTAAAGAAATCAGATTCCTGTCAAAATGAAAAATACTTTCTTATTTCTAGACAGTGGAATACATTTAAACTCTGAACATTATGATACGTTTAACCTGAAAAAATATGGACATCTGGTTTTTCCGCGAGTCGTGAATTGCGGTCCAGGGTGACCCGTTCGAGCACCAGGACAGCGAGCAATTTTACGGTTCGCTCGTAGAAATAACGATGAACGGCTGCCAGAAACTACCTAGAAAAATATTATTCGTAGTCTCGCTGGTTAATCCGCGAATTTGCGTAGCGCGGAGTTTTTTCCCTCTTTTTCCGTTCCTCGCGACGAGGAACGCCCAATTGGAATTGCTGGTAATTTTCTTTTTTTTTTTTTTTTTTACCCCCGTTGAAGTGGTCCGTCCTCCAATTTGCTTCTCCTCGTGCGCCTCCAGTGTTCTTCGCGGACCCTTGTCGCGCGCCGTAGGTGCTCGTTAATTCTGGTTGTTTAATGTGGCGCCCGTGTAGGATGAAGACCGCCGAGGCTGGCTGCGCGCAGATTTAATTATAGGCGACGGGGACGCGCGAGTAAATCAGGAGAGATGTCCTGATTTCGCGTACGAAACCGAGAAAACGCGTTTTACGGAAGAACGGGTCCCTTGGTCCTGGGGTGCTTACAAACACTTCCCGAGAGGTCTGAAGCAGCCCCGACTTTGGGAATTTATTCCGACGAAATGAATGGCGGTTCAGACTTTTACAGGGTGTTTAAGTGTAATCTGAAATCCTTCAAATTTGTAATCCATGCACGCCGCGAATTTAATCATTCGCGTCCCAACGGATCAATCAGTCCATGGCTGGCTTTAGTATGTTATTCCGTGCAAATCGATGAATGTAAACGTTGGGTGACGGGGCTAAGCGCATTAATTAATACACGCGGATTCAAAACGCGTAACCGGAAGCGTGCCATTCCATAGAGAGGAATTCCATTAGGAAGTCGATTATTTCGGTAATTATTAGAATATTTCCAGTAAGAAAGCTTGAGGAATACAAATGCGATTCTTTGCAGACATTACCGTCGACTGTCTGAGTATTTTTAATGCGACATAATCGATACTTTAGGCGTTTCAGGAAGGATTGGAACGAGATTTCTAATTAAAGACCTTATACACCACCGCAAGGCTTCCTCAAATACATTTATGCTCTCACGCTTTAACGAGGGAGACCCTCCCAGCAATAATACCCGAAGAACCATAATTATCGTACGAATTATTTTCATCAATTTTTCAATACTTACACCTTCCATCATTTTTCCAACACAATTTCAAGGTTGCATATTTTATTAGAAAATCCAAGGACGACTAAAAATCGATTGTAAGGCGCGTCTTCAAGGGTGCGTCCCTCGGAGGGAATTCAGTAAAAATAAAAATCGATTTTTTTTAAAGCTCCCATTGGGAATCCTCTTTAACAAATCACTGGTGCATCGCGTCCTTGCTCGATAACGGGACGGGAATCGATCGTCGATTCTCGAAGGAGCAGCCGTTCAGGGCCGCGTACATAGAAAGGAAACAGGATAATCGTCCTCGAAATGACCCAGCCACCGACAAATCCAATTTTATCGCGGTCCTTGGTGAATTACCCACGAGGAAACTCGTCAGGGGACCTCGTTGGGAAAGTCGATTTCGCGGTAATGACTATACTCAGCATTGGCTGTCGTTACCGCGAAACTTTCGCAATAAAGCTCGCTTGGATCCGAAGCGGAACGCGGAAATTCCGGCGCGTGTGTTTCGAGGGATATCTTGTGGTTTACCAGTCGTGTGCTTGATCACGATATCGTTCCTTCTTTCTGTTCAATTTTTTTAATTTAGATCTCGTTGGAAAATGTGTGTTTATTTATACGATTATAAGTATAGATATAAGAAAATGAATGTAAACTTTCAAACAGCGACGTTAATCATTCCTTTTTCCGTTTCAGATTTCCAGAAACTCGAACGTGAGGCGCGGATATGCAGAAAATTGCAACATCCAAATATCGGTAAGCTTATTTCAATCTTTTCCACGTGGAATTCATTTTATTAGCCCTTCAGTCTCATTAAGGGGTAAGTCAGCTTGGACGCGTGAAAATCATAGCTACACTCGATATACGCATTACGAACCTGGGGTATGCAGATCATTCACTAAGTCAATAGTTTTCGAAAACAAATTTCTTGAACACAGCTACGCTTTTCGCTTCTCCAAGGTGATTTTTTCCTCTGAAGGGCGAATTTCCGCGTGTCCATTAGAACCGCCTCGCCCGTAAATGGATCGTCCAATGGATCGTGAAAATATATTTATTCGAGCGTCGCAAAGGGCACGTGGAAGCCTCCCCGTCGACCCCGTCGCTGGAAATTATAAACGGAGAATAAACCAGTGAACGATATTGGAATCCAATAAAGCAAGAAGAGTGAATAAACGCGTCGCGCGGAAAACACGGTGGGAAATTCGCCGTTACACTTGTCCAGCTTCGATGGGTCCTGGTGTTTCTTCCCGTGCCACGGCCGTTTCTCGCCATTTTTATTCGCCTGGAAATTTCGTCCATTGTGCTCGTAGAAAAGCGATGTTTGCCAAGGCGGAGCCAGCCAATCTTGTGCAACGGCACGCGTGTTCGATTTTCATCGTGCGCTCGAGATAACTCGCGTTTCGCGTTCGACTAGCTGAGATATTCATCGAGTTTGCTCTCGCGATCAATTAAGCCAGCGGGGTTATTGTTATCGAGAATCTATAAATATTTGCCGAGTGTTAGGTTCGTTATGGGAGAAACTGAGGCATTTTTCGGATTTTTTTTATGTGAGAATCATTTAGAACTACAAGATGGGCGATTGAAACTCTACAGGGTTGATTATGAGTATCTCGGTGAGCTATGTACAGTTTTTTTTATGTAGCAACTGATGAGTTTTGAGGATGTGAGCTGAAATGGAATATTTGAATATTTATAGGTTCGAATAGCAGGATATTGGTTAAATTGATGGGGTGCAAATATTGTTTACATCGTTTTAAACCATTTACAGGATTCGTTATTAAGCTAATTGAAGTGCGCAACGAATGAAAGCTTTCATTTCATTTATCCATTATTCGAGACGTCAGAGGAAAAGTTTATATAACATTTTGCGCAGAGTTTCACCCTCTTTGAGCTTTGTTTACGACAACTTTAAAAATGTTTACATACAACGAACATACACGGGACAAACTGAAGGCCTGCAAGTTGAGAAAACCAGCATTATCCGTGGACTGATTTAGCTCAGAATCGACTCGGACTTTACGCAAGTATCCAGGCTCCATTTTAAAAGGGTTCTTTTTTTTTTAAATATTTTCCCAAGTTACGAACCTACACAAAAACAGAAATTAGACACTTGTAAGTGTAGAAGTTTGGAAAGCTGACTATCGCAGTTCTTGAGCTGATTTCTCTTAGAATCGAATCAGATTTTCCTCGAGCATAGACGACAGAGAAACCATTCAGCGAGTAGGATCTGGCAGACATTTAGGCTCCGAAAGGTCAGCATCCCTGAACGGGCAGCGCAGTAGGATTACGCTCGGGATTATGGGATTCCCAGCGCAGCCTTCGCCCGTTAAACTGCAGCAGCTCGTTAACTAAGTGTCCTCACGGTTCGCTGCTTTCGATGAACCTCGAACAGAGTGCAATTTGCTGAAAAGAGGCGGTCAAAGCTAAAGTAAGGCAACGGTGCTCGTGACAGCTGGTTGCGGTCAGGAATACTAGAGAACTGTCTCTTGAATTTTAAAGGAGCCACTGCGACAGGAACGAACAGTGTCCTCCAATCGGCAGGAACTTGCAATACTCTCGGTATCATTCTTCGATTATTCATTCAACAGGATTTCGAAAATTTTGTAATGTTCTATCGGTATCATTGAATAATTTAACCAGGCGTATTTATTCCCACTCTCCCTCTTAACGAAATCAATAGATAAAAAGAATGCCTAATAATTTTCTGATCGCATTGAAAGCATAAGGGGTGGCGAGCAGTCGACGGGTTAATTTCTAGAGAAAATTATCGTCCATCCCGACGCTGTTCTTCCGAGTGTTCGTCATATATTCGCAGTTTACGCTTCCACACTCTGTATGCTATCGTCCTGTCAAGCGCACAACGTACCCTCATCCGAGGGGATTTACGTACTTTGCCCCGTTAATTCTTCGAATGAAAGGAAATAACTCGAATCCCTGACTCCGTGGTTGCTGTCGCGGCTAAATTACCGCACTTGCCCGAAAGACTCGCGCGTTCATGTCAAAGTGATGGAATTATCAAGCGGTGCACGATACCTCGGAGACACGAGGAATCGACCTATCGAATTCCTGTCTTGGGACTTGGAGGTTTGAGCTTTTGATAAGAGAGGGCTAGCGGAACGTTTCGCTGAACACATTTGAATGAAATTAGGAGTCCTTCGGGCCAGCTGAAACTGAATTAAATTTAAAAAACACAAATTGCTATGAAATGTAATGAAATTTTACAATTTCATTTGTATTTTAATACTTGGTGCTTGCTTATATATAGTATTCGTAATGTTTACACAAGAGTCGATGAAATATTTTGTTATTATTGAAAGATTCCTTAGTAAAGGGATTCTGAAGCAAAGTACGTAACGCTTTTCGAGTTACTGTCTAGTGAAACAGTCCGTGATCCCCAATTCGTCCACAACCATAAGTCGGAGGAACCAATAATCGTCGTGGCAGCGAGTTCTCGTAGCGACGATTGTTTCTGGAGCGTCGAGGCTCGTTTAACGCGTTGGTCCGATGGTAGTTTAATTCTCGCGGAAAATTAGCATACGTTGGAACATGGGCGTGCGAGGTACGATCGTATATTCTAGGTTTACGCCTTCTGCGTCGTGAAAACTATATATGTATATACATATATATGTATGTCCGCCACGTACACGCGTGTGGAAACTTCCTCGTGGGGAGTGCAACTGCGAAAGTTCTCCACGGCACGTCGGCCAGACGTCGTTTATGGCTATTATAAATCTGACATATGCACGCCTGCGGCCTTTCCTACTATCCCCACTCACTCTCGTGAAACTGCATTTTTGCATCCCTTGAAAACTCAGAGTCGGGGAAAATAGAACTTGCCAGCAAGTAACTTCCTTCGTGAAGTGCGCGCTTGGAGGAGGCTGTTAGGTTAGTGAGATAGCTATTCCAATTTGCAGAGGTTAGGTTAGATGGTCTGCATGATAGTGGCGACGGAGTCAATTTTAACTTGTAGGGGGATAGGCTAAAATTTGTATAACTGCAGGTTTTATAAACGTTGAACGTGGAACTTGATTCTTTTCATGGTTTAGTTAGATTCAAGATATATGTCAGAGTTTTGTGAATCTTTATTGGACTAACTGTATATAAATATATTGTTTCTTTGTTTGCAAAGGTTTTACTTTGCTTAAAGATTCGCAGTCTCCTCGCAAACGTCACAAAAATGACAATAAAAAATACCCCTCGTGACACCACTCTCATCTCCACCTAATTTTCTACCCTCGCGACACCACTCTCATCTCCACCTAATTTTCTACCCTCGCTAACCCTCCTCCCTGTTCTCATGCTCTGTTCCAATAATCCATCATCGTGATCTTGACCATCAGAGTCCCTTAGTGGATCCCCAGAGCCTGCATCCCCGAGAATTCGAAAGCATTTTCGCTTGAGTAATTCCCCTCGCCCACCCTAGCAGATGATCGTGCAAACGTAGGACGACCAAGTCGAGCCCTGCAAAGAGGCTGATCGTGGAACGGGCCGGGACGACATCGCACATGTACACACGAGCACGTTCACACGATGGTGAAAGGGTTCGCAGAGATCGGTCTGGCGGCGTGTACGAGAGCGCAGATGTACACAGGTGGTCGCAAACGTTCAGCCTAGCCTAATTAACCACGGAGGCACGAATCGCACGGGTAATTAGCCAGGGAATTGTCGAACAACGAGTTACATACAGGCGATTGCCTCCCCCGTAACCGATGCGGATTCTACTCGTCTTTTCAGCGTTCCGCGTCGGCGAATCTTTTCCTGACCCCGTAGCTTTTGCGGCGTGACGCGTGGATTCGCGATTATGGTCGATTCGAGGGAGTTTGGGCTCCATTTGTGGAGTTTGAAGAGAAAAGAGGGTGGCACTTGGGACTTGGAGAGATCTAGAGGCCGTCAGAGTGTTAAATTTTTAGGGATTTTAGTGCAGCAAAATTTTAAAAGCCTTCGATATATCACGAAAGATTCAATTACTAACCAACTAGTACCAGTGTATCTATTTTTCTACTATTACTAATATTAAACATAATCTACCTAAGTAAACAATCTCGATGATAATATACTAAGGGCTTCTTACGTCCAAAAATCAGCACACCTAGGTCTCCTGAAAATTAGTATACAACGCCTCACCCCCTTCCCTACCAATTTCGCGTGTCTAGCCTCTCCAATTCCGCGTTTCGTGCTTACTGGGGTCGTTTCTCAAGGGTTGATGGCGACCTGAGCACCAAAGTAGCCTAACGTGCAACTGCCCTGACCGAACTATTAAACCGCAGTTCAGACGATACCAATTAATCCAAGGTACCTCGGCTGCCTCGGAGCAGCCAAGATTGCTCCCTGAGGACCGCGAGACCTATCACGGCTCTATTTCGCTTCGCGCTATTGACCATTGTCGTTCGCGTGGCAGACGCCTCGCGAGTGGAACGGACATTACCTGGGAATTAACCTAACGGTCTTCTTCGAACGATCGGTATCTTCCCTGAACGGAACCCCGTAAAATGAGATCGACGAACGCCCGCAACGCGTTTTACTGCCACTGTTCTCGAAATGTTCCACCACGAAGCTGAACTTGAAAGGTGAATAATTCAGAAATTCGTGAAATTCTACTCGAATAATGAACGACGAGTGGAAACATTACGTACGGAAATGAAACAATGAAATATTTAGAGGAGGTTCGGTTGGGTGGTATCAGCAGAGACAACTGTTGGGGAACTATCGAGTGATTCTCTTGATAATTTTTCTCCCCTCTGGGACCACTTTTCCAC